CTGTCTCAGGATCCTGGTGAAGACCTGGCCTGGAGCCTTGGTGTCCGGTGGCCTCTCTAGGAGAGTGCGCGGCAGCCCCTGGGCCCCTGGGCCTCCCCAGCTGCATCCAGGGGCTTATCTCTTACTTCAGAATTGAAAAAGGGCCTTGGCACCAGCGACTCGCCCTGCACTCAGGAGGCCCCGTGGCACCAGGAGGGAGCAGGTAAGACCTGGAAGTCTCCCCAGCGCTCAGTGGGTTCTAAGGGGCCGGGGGCAGCGCAGGGGGCATGGTCTTCTGGGGAGTGTGGCTTTGGGGATGGAACAGCACAGCTCTCCTGTCCTGCACTGCTAGGTGGGCCAAGCTGGTGACCAGCAAGGTGATGAGAAGCCACCGTCGATTCTCTGAGCTGCAGAAGGACCCTGTGGGCCCCGGCTCTGACAGGCATGTGGGCTCAGTCCTGGGAGCTGGACTGGTGCTGAGCCTGTGACCCATCTCTTCCAGCCAGGACAAAGCAGGGTGCTTCCCATCAGCTGCTTCCTGTCCTCAACAGGAGGAGGGGACATTGTGGCCATGGGATGACCTTTGAGTTTATCATCAGTGAGGACACTGTGAGATGGGCATATTAAGGGGTCAATTTGTTACACAGCAATAGCTAACTGATACACTCCCCAGCTGTTCTGGAGCAGTTCCCTGTCACCAATTCCTGCAGATAAATGAGATAAATGGATGAATATTCGCACTAACTAGAACAAATGGTTAAAGAGTCTTTCTCTCTCTCTCTTTCTTTTTTTTTTTTTTTTAAACTCTGGATTGAACCAGGAGCACTGAGCCACATCCCCAGCACTTTTTATTTTTTTATTTTGTGACAGGGTCACTAAGTTGCTGAGGCTGGCTTTGAACTCGCCATCCTTCCGCCTCAGCCTCCTGAGTCGCTGGGATTATAGGTGTGCTCCACTTGTACCCAGCCCCCTGAGACTTTTTAACCAGAACTAAATTCCTGGGTGTTTTGTTCCTCGTCTTTCAGACAAACAGCTCAAGTCCCAGGGAATAACCTTGTACAGTCAGCCCTCTGAAGGTGTGGGATTCACATCTGGGAATTTAACCAACCATGGATCAAAAATATTTGAGAAAAAAAAAATTGCATCTGAATGAACATGTAGAGACCTTTGCAGAACTGGGATGGAACCCAGGAATTCCTCATGCTGGGGGAAGCTCGGGAAAGCTCTGCCACTGAGCTACATTCTTAGCCCCAGACATTTTGTTTGTCCCTTATTTCCTTAAACAATACAACGGAACAACTATTTAATTAGCATATACATTGGGTCAGATATTACATGGCATCTAGAGATGACTTCAAGTCTACAGGAGGCAAATGTTAATGCTACTTTATATACGAAGTTTAAGCATCTAAAGATTTTGGTATCTGTAGGGGGGGCCCTGGAATCAATCCCCAGATTCCAGGGAACAACTTCTCATGCAAGCGCACAGCCTTGTGGGTAACTCCCCGTGGGAAATCTCAGGATGTAGAGGAAGCGTCTGTCACATCCTCAGTGGTCTCCAAAGCACTCTCCTGCGCTTGGGCAGCTTGGTCAGTATTTTTAGCTCCTTTTTCCAGAGCCTTCCGTCCATGTCCTTAGCCACGTACCCTCTGGATGCTTATCCATTCCTATCACGTGTTCATTAAGTCCCCATAGAGCATCCCTTATGCACCAGGCCCTTGACATGCTAATTTTGGGGGCACTATTATGATGCTCACCACTTTACAGATGAGGAAACCGAGGCTCAGGTCTGAAAAAGGACTTGCCCCAAGTTGCCAGGCTCTGGTGCCAACGCCAGCCACTGCACCCGCCACCTCCCCAGGGACACCTGGAGCGGATTTCACCCACATCCACCCGCATTCCCACTGGCTCAATGTCTCCACATAGAAATTTTGGGCTATTTCTACACTTTTGTAACCCCTGAGCCTCTGGAAAAACTGTGTTCTTTTAGACGCCCACTTCTTTTGTGCAGGTTTTTTTTTTTTGGTAGTTGGACACAATGCCTTTATTTTATCTATTTTTATGTGGTGCTGAGGATCGAACCCAGGGCCTCGCATGTGCTAGGCGAGCACTCTACCCCTGAGCCCCAGCCCCAGCCCCAGCATTTCTGCATTTTCTACACATCTTTTTCCATATGAAGACTTTTCATTAAAAAAAAATAACCTGTTAATTTGATAGATAACTACCTCATTGTCTTTTAAAAATTGCTTTGATAGCTAAATTGAACTTGTTATTGGCCATACGTTTGTGATTTTTTGTTGTTATTTTTAAGGCTAATTGTTCCTGTGTTTTACCTACTTTTTCCTTCAGTAGTGTTTAGTGTTTTCTTGTTGATAAAGAACAACTCTTTGTATATTAAGGATAATAATGCTTTGTGATACAGGTCATGATTTTTTTTCCCTCCTCAGCTTGCTGTGAGCTTTTCCGGGTTTAGTTCTCTCTCCAAAACTTTCTTTTGCAAGGAAGGGTGCTGGGGCTGGAACCCAGGGCCTCTGAGCAGCCCCTCTACCCAGAGCTTTCCTCAGTCCCCAGTCTTAACTGGGTATCAGGTTTCTGCTGAGACAGGAGCTCAGTTACTGACTTCCCTCTGCTTGCCAAAAAAGTCATCTGTTCACCGGAGGTTGGCAGCCTCTCCAGTGTCACAGCCTGTCCAGCGGCTTCCGGAGCTGGCCTCCGAGGGATTTCCCTGGGGTTCCGCTGCGGTCAGCTTTCAGAGGGGCCTGTACACTCCGGATGATTTCCTTCCTTTCTGATCTGGGTTTTCCGTCTTTCCCAAGAGAATGAGAGAAGCCTGAGCTTTCCAGACTTTTCTTCCAACTCTACTTTCTGAGCTAAATTTGTGCTGCGCCTCTCAGGCTGGAGGCGTGGCTCGGTGGCAGAGCCCTTGCCTGGCCTATGGGACACCCTGGGCCATCCCCAGCTCTGCCCAAAGAGAGGCTTTACAGCCTCCAGCTGTGTTCCCCTTCCCGGGACAGGGTGGAGCTGTTAATTCTGGAAACACTGTAGCAGTAAGAGTTTGTTAGCCTTCCCCTTTTGACAAAGCCATTATTTGCCCTAGGGGTGTCTAAATCTTTCCAGATGGAATGAGACATCCTGTCACCTTGTTTTTGTTAATAATATGAAAGCTCTTAAGCTCTTTCCTTATCCAATCCCGAGTATTTTTTTTTTTTGCCTTTTTATTGTGGAAAGTTTCAAACACACTCCTCACATCACAGACCCCCGTGGGCCCTGCACAGATTCAGCAGTGACCGGTGGGCAACATTTCCTTTCCCAGTCCTCCCCCACCCACACAATCATGTCACCAATCAAGATTCTTTCAGAAGAGCCAAACAGTTACCTTGTCGTGGGGAGTATTGTGGGCAAAACCGGGAAGACTGGGATGCAGAAGGGGTGTCCTGTGCTCCAGGTAGTTGGGCCTGGCCCGGGTTTCGGGTCCCACTACCTGTGGTGCCCACGGGGCTGCACTCCGCGCGTGCCCTGAATTCGACAATATTGAACCCTCTCGCCCCCATCTTCGTAAATAAACATGTGTTTGAGCATCGGCTTAAAAGTTCATTTTAAAGAATGACACAAACACGATTAGGCAGAACATTACAGAACCAGGCGCCGTGGCGCACACGTGTAATCCCAGCAGCTCGGGAGGCTGAAGCAGGAGGATCTCGAGTTAAAACCAGCCTCAGCCACTCAGCGAGGCTAAGCAACTCAGTAAGATGCCAAGTCTCTAAGTAAAATACAGAAAAAAGGGCTCGGGGTGTGGATCAGTGGTTAAGCGCCCCTGGGCTCAATCCCCGGTACCAAAAGAAAGAAAAGAAGAGAAAATACATTATCTATTGCAAAACAATCTCCTGGGCGGATTTCCATGGAAATGATGACCCTGCGGGAGGACTTGCTTGGGCACTGCAGTGTCTGGCCGCTCGCGCCAGGCCTGAGGGTTCTCTCTGACCTCATTTTACAGAAGGCGGACAGCCTCAGCGCGTCCACCGCGGGGGCTGGATTTGAAGTCGGGTTTCTGGGTGCCAGGAAGCTCAACACCCCCTAAGGAGAGGTCAGGAACCAGGATGGTAGATCACATGTTGCAGCCAAGGAAACTGAGACTCAGATCTTTTGGGTCCTATCTAGCCAGGTCCGTCTGCTGGCAACGCGGGTCTTAAACACGTGGAAGTTAGACGGCTCCTCAGGCTGACCTCCCGAGTGAGCGGACGTCTGGATGCCACGCCAGGCCGGCTCCGCAAGCAGCTCTCTGTGCCTTTAAGGAGGCAACGCGGGGCGGAGCTCTGGGGGGGCTGGTCCGTGACGTCACGAAGGGGCGGCCTCGAGTTGTCGGCGGGTCAGCGGCGCTGAGGGGCTTTAAGTTTGTTCAGAGGCGGAGCCTGGGAGACAAGCCCAGTCGGCTAACTGGACGCCTAGCGTGCTCCTCCCCTTTAAGTCGCGCGTCAGAGGCGGTGCCTGGATGACCGATGACCCTTTAAGGCGCGGCCCGCG